GTTCTTGGGGCCCTGTTAGTCTTTTTTCAGTAGCAATACCAGAAACCAGAAGTTACAGTTTCTTGTGTTTGAGTTTGACTTTCTCGAATGACTGCGCATTCACACTTTCTTCTTGGGGGAACTGTCTGATTCTTTCGTTGGCTTTCAAACTCCTGCATCCTTTTCTTTAATTTCTACTCCTTCCTATTTTCAGTTTCTGCATCAAAGTTGGGGAGAAGAAGCAGCGAAGGAATCCCAGGTGTGAGTGGAATTTGTATGAACACTTTTGATTCATTTATGTTTTATTTCATCTCTTCTATTTGGTAGACTATTTTGTTATCATAAGACAAAATGAAGCTATCTCCATAAACAAATTCCAAATCTTTTAAATTGTATGTAAACAAAGAAATGACGATTTTTCCAGTTAATAGCTAGATCTCATTGATTTGGCAAAGTTCATTAGTACAACATCGAAAATATTTTCTTCTCAATAGTAACTTTTAAATAGCGCCTTACAGTTTTCAAGTGTATCCTTTCAAACAAAGCCAGCATGCTTCCAATATGATCGATGGAACATAAATGGATTAGGGGTGAGGATGGTCAGGTTCTGACCATTTTATAAAGGTGTGAGCCATTTATTTGTTCTTTTCTTTATACTGACTGAACTCACGAGTGTCAGAAAATTGAGATCTTGTACAAGGTTCAATAATGACTTCCAGTCCCACCCGAAAGGTAGATTTTATGCAGACACCACCTCAGGTTTCAGATGAACTTTACAAATTAGTAACACCACAGATTGCCTGCTTTTCATTCCAAGGGATTTAAATTCTGTACTGTAGTTTCATGACCCAACCCATGAACCACCCTGAAATTAGGGAACTCTCTGCTGTTCCGTTGATGGGAGCTCTACTTGACAGGTGGAGAGTTCATTATCACCACTACAGAGGTGGTCTCAGTTCTGCCTTTCATGTACTCTATCACCATGTCGATGGTGAGTCTTCAGCATTTGCCAGTGACATCGAGGATGAGGGTCTGTGGATGACTGTAGACGATGACAACACTGATGACATCAACTTCTTTTCCTTCTCATAGGTAGAAGAACAAAATACAGGATCCAAATTTGTCCCCAGGAAAAAGAGACCTTTTCACTCCCTGCATTCCGTAACAATTTTACTGTACCATCCTCACAAACCCTGCAGAACTCAGGGACAAAATATGAAAGTGTGACTCGCCAGGCGCCACCTGTTCACTGCTGGGAGTCATACTCTAAATATAGACCCCCCAGGCTGCTTCTTTCTTAGAATATTGAAATTTGACTCGCCAGCCAGAGCCTTCCCTATGAAGGACTGTGCGTGGAGGAGGCCCCTGCAGGAGGCGAGCCAGGGAGTCCATAAATGCCTTGTTGACAAATGCAAGAACTCAGGAATATGCCATTCCTCTCTGGTCTTCCTAACAACTAGATTCATTTACCAACATCATGTTCCCTTTTCTCCAGCTCTCTGCTTCGTTCCTTTTCTCACCATGCTCTTAGGCTGCCTTTCTGTGATTTTCTTAGATAAGTAAATTCTGTCTCTGAAAATGTATGAAAAAAACCATTCAGATTAAACTGTGCTTTTAACTTTGGGCTACTGTGAGCTTGCACAAGAGACTCCTGTTCATTTTGAATATAAACATGAAGAAGAACTAAGAAATATGACGAGCTTATTATAGGCAGGCGATTGGTTCTGCAATGTGAGCTCATTTTCACTTTCTGATAAGTTTCAAGGACAATAGTTCCACGCCTACTTCTCTTTATTGTCACAAAATCCCCCCCCCCCTTTGCATAGGTATATGGTTCAGTCATTTCAGTATAAAACACAGAAGAAAGCACCACCCTTTTCAGCTTACCAGGTCTTTCTTGCTTTAATCCACTCTCTATCTAAAACTCCTTAAACCCCAGGAGCATGAAGCTTTTCAGTTCTTTTACATCTTTAGCACTTTAATTCATAGTTCTTCCCAACAAAGCACAGGGGCTATGATTTAAAACCACTTCGTTCTCCATTATGTGCACCCACAAGTACTTTATAAGGACATATTAGACATCTGAGATATCATCTTAAAAGTGAAAATGGGAAATGTTTTGGTTCCCAGGCAAGGCTGTTTAATGTTTTCGGAGCATGTGAAAACAAACAAACAAAAGTTTATAAGGTCACTTCCCAAGGAAACCTTCTGATAGCCACACATAATATATGACTTGTAAAGTATCCAGAATTAAAGATGAATCAGTGGTTGGTACTACTATGGGTTATGGAGGGAGACAAAGAGAAGGTTGGCATTTGGAAAGTTCTCCTTGGATATTGTGCTACCAGATGTTAGCTTAGTTAAGGTTGTCTCACTGCAAACAGCCTATCCAGGTCTGGTTAACACAGAGGACAAACGCTAAAGAACAAGGTTAGCTTTCAGGGATCTGGGTAGGAGAAACTGAGAGATGATTGCTGCATATAAGTTTCCCTGGTTTCGTGGTTTTTTCTCCTTGCTAAAGATTAAAATTTTAGCAGGAGAGCTTCTGTTTGGTGTGCTTTGGGCACGGTGCCCATCTTTTTGCTAGGGCAATGCAGAGTATGTGAAAGGTGTGATGCACTCATTTCCCTTCTTTAGTATGAGGTCTAAGCTGTTTGAAATGGTGATTTATTTTGAAAATGTTTACTCTACTTTTTATGTGATGTGTGCATTCCTGTTTGTCTGTATGGCACCACATTCAGAGAAGATAAGAAGAAGGGGCAAGATCCCTGGAGCTGAAGTTATAGGCAATTGTGAGCCACCCCTCATGTGGGTGCTAGGAACTGAACTTGGGTCCTCTGCAAGAACAGCAAGTGTTATTGGACACTTAGTCCACATCTCCAATCCTATTTTCCAGTGTCCTTTAATTATTTGGCATAACAAGCCTTTGTTCAGCTGTCACTGAGTTGCTGGGAACCTGCCTACCACCACATGCTTGAGTCGCAATTTCTACATTACCTGATCATTAGAAAGATACAATATGAAATGTCAATACAGAACATTGCCCTTGGAACCAAAGCCACCTGGCTTCCCTGACAGCATTCCATAGGGTTGCATATATAGTTCAGGGTGTGGTCTTGAGTGTTGCACCATCTACCCCAGCTTTTGTCTTTAAGCAGAGAACAGATGCTTTTGCCAGTGATAGACTCTACTTCAAAGGCACACATATAAACCGAGATCTGGATGTCACACTCATCAGCCTCTGTATTCTCCTCCTGTGAAATAGGCTACAGTGAAAGTTATGTTTCAACAGGAGTAACAACGGAATACTTTCCCTTAAGAAGTTCAAGTGTCAGGGGGCAGAAGGGGTTACTGCCTGTCTTACCTGTTCATTATCTCCCTGCATATAAGCTCTGGCTTGGGAAGTCACATCTTCAGAAGATAGCTTGACGAACCTAGAATCAGAGCCAGCACATCCGTTCATCTGAAAGAGAAACTTTTAGCTTAGGAAGTTTGCAGTATTCTTACACATTGTGGGAATGATTTTGCCAAGGAAGAAATGTTCCCTTCACCTTAGCCAGAACTGCCTTTCTTCTAGACAGTGCTTTAGTAACATTTTCCTCTGAAGCCTTTTTTGTGTATGACTAAGTCTCTTTGTTGCACTTGGCCTTTCTCTGAATACAGAGCCATGCAGTTGATTTGGTTCAGTTTACTAAATCTAAAATCACATCTCAGTTCTGCTTTCTAGAAGCTACAGTGATAAAATTTTTCCTGGAGATTAGCTTGTTCTTAAACTCTTTGTATTCTTAATTTTCTCTCATGTTTTTTCCTGTGGATTTTGAAACCTCTCCTCAGATACCAACCTTGTATCGAAACTACAAGGATATTGCTCACCGAAGAGCTTAGGTTTATTGTGTTGTGTGTTTTTGTACTATGTATTAAGTTCGCCTTGCTGGGCAGCCAGTGACTGATACCAAACCTGGTTAAATTAGACAATGAGAAGATGTAATTGCTTCATTCCCTTTTTTTGTCTTTGAAAGTGAAAATGGCAAGTGAATTGTGCCCACCAAACTGATCAGTGCAATGGTTTCACACTAATTGCTAGATGACAGATTCGGTCATGTTTGCTTTGGTCTTTGTATTCCTGCAACACACTGTTTCATTTGTAGATGCTGTTCTCTGTTTGTATCCCAGGATTTCAGAGTGTTCTTTTTACAGCAATTGCACCTCAGTCTGTGCACCTTTTCATCTAACAGACTTGATTTCTCCCCGATCTTTCCTGTTCCTGGCTTTGGAGAGCCCCAGCCTCGTCCTGGTTAACTTGTGCCCTTCAAAGCCTGTTGCTCAGTCAGAAGATTTGCATATTCTCAGGCAGGCTGATTAGTTCAGTCAAGTTGGGCACTGTTCATTCAGCTGCATTCTGTGATAGGCCCCAGAAGACATTAAAATTCCTTTGAGTAAAGCGAGTCACACTTCCCAAGAAGTGAGCCATGTAGGACTTTTAGAGACCATCATCCAACACTGATCTGCTACCTCTCGTCTTATTCTTCCTTGACGGAAGTATTTTTATTGTACTTTTCCCTCCTAAGTAGAATGCAGACTGTGAGCAGGGGAAGCCAAGGTGAAAATAACTAAAAAAGTATTAAGAAAGTAAAAGATACATTCTCATTCCAGGTTCCCTATTCTGGTGACTTATTCGTTTCAGGTCTAGGACTATATTTCAGAGGAAATGGTAGATATTTATGGCTGGGAGGAGGGGAGGTAGAGGGAGAAACTGCTGTCCCAGGAAGGAAGACTCAATTAAAAAAAAAAGTACAAGTGGCCAGTAGCCCCAGGGGAGGATGCTGTCCTGTTTTGGTAATTGAAGGAAGGGAAACACAGCTAGAGAAAAATGGGATTAGTCGCAAAAAAGAAAAAGTAACAAGGCCTGGTATGGGGGAGGGAATGAAGGGGGGCGGGTCCTCTTCTGCCGCACTGCTGGTGGGAGGGGAAAGTGGGGATCCGAGTTGGTGGATGACGTCGCTCTCACGTGACTAAGAGCTGACGTGTGCAGAAGTCCTTCTTGTCCTGGTCGTTGTTCCCGTCTGAGTACCAGCTCCCTATTACCCCGAGGGCGGGCCGGCCTCCAGCCGAGGAAAGGAGGCGGAAAAGAAATTGTCCGGGATCCCTGCAGGTCAGTGCCTGGGATATTCCATAAAGTAGGGGCGGTGGAGGGTGGAGGGCGGAGGCCGTCGCAGGTCCGGGGGCGCCGCCGTCGTCTCTCCCACTTGCCGCCCTCTTTCCAAGATATATGTCCCGCCCGCAGCCCATTTCGTTGCTGCAAAACAGTGAGTAGGGGGTGTTTGGGCAGGCGCCCAGAAATCCGGAGATGGGAATCTGCTGCGGGCGGAGGCCAGCAATCCGGAAAGGGAGCAGTGGCCTGGGTGTTGGCCCCTGGTCCACCAGACTGTGCCGGCGGGGAAAAACTGGACATGGGGTCCGGCGTGGGGTGCAAAGTGATGTGCCAGCCAAACCCTGAGCTGGGTATCGGGCGGGAAACCTTTAACAACCAGACCTCCGAATTAGGAAAGAGTTTCGCTCTCTGGGGACTGGTCCGTCCACCAAGCACTCTGTAGCGGCTGTTTCCCGTCTTTTTGTCCGTGGCCGCGTCTTCTTTACCATAGCTCTGTGTCTAGTGGGTCCAAGCCTCTCCCGGGTGGCCAGTCTTTCCGTAGGTTGTGGTACCACGCCAGGCAAGAGAAGAGGAAGGAAATTAACCAGATCGGTGAAGGTCGATTTGAGGGTAAGACCATCTGGGGACCCTAGGAGCGGCGGGGGTAGAAAAGGGAAAACCAGAAAAGGTAATCTAGGTTTAGATTTGAGTCTAAATGTGTTTCTCACACTCCCTGAACTGTGGAGAAATGGCGTGCGCTGTGTGTGTGTGTGTGAGTGGGGGTGGGGGGCGAGGGGCGGGGGGGGGGGCGGGGGGAGGGGGGAGGGAGCGGGGGGCGGGATAACGGCAGGAAAACCTATCAGATAGTTTGTTCATAATCCTTCTCTTTCAACAGTACTTCGTGTCCATGTTTTCGATCTGTCATCCTGCAGGTCTGCTGTAGCAGGTGGCACTGCTTGAAGCAAGGGAGGAACTCCCCCCCCCCCATCAGTGGAGGTCGGTGTGGGCGTGGGGGTAGCCTGGAATGGAGGAGGGGTTCGAAATCAGTCAGTCTGGGTTTAGTCAGGCTCACTCAGTCCTACTTTATTTCCTTACACCCACCCATTTCAGACGAGGGAGGGGGCTAAGTCTGTGCGTGTTTTGGATGGATGGCACAATGGGGCTTTAACAAAAATCTGACAACCTGGATGGTAAATTAGGCAAGCATAAAATATACAGTGCCTGCAACAAGCCCTCGTTATTCACTGTTTCTGGTATCTCTGCAGAGCAGAAAGATTGTTGGGTGTGGCAACACCTCACAGTAAAGGAAGAAGGGGCAAGCTGCTTGTTCCCAGGAGGTTAGTATAAGGGTGCTTATCCCATGGGGGCTACCACAGGCGCCTCTGACAGATGAGAGCCCAGCAAAATTTGTGGATGCAAATTGACTTTGTGCTTAGAGGCAAGAGTGACTGGGGGTGGGGTAAGGAGGGAGAGGAATGTAGGGAAAGACTGAAATGAGGAGATAAAGCTTTTTGTCAACAATCTGTATTCGCTATCCAGAATTCAATTCCTACTTTCTTGCCCCTCCATGCAATTGTCTGCATGGGGCAGCACAAAGAGAAGAGAAAGGCAAACCCTCTTTTCTTCTTCCCTTTATAGGTTTACCTCCAGAACTAGTTACTGCAGCTTCAAAGTGACTGAAGAAGATCGTTCTCCATAGGCCTGCGCTCAGGCCCGAAGCCCTCTTCCCCTATTTTGAGTGGCCACTCTATTTCCTGGTCCCTGCCGTTGTCAGGGACGATTGCATGGGCTACGCCAGGAAAGTAGGCTGGGTGACTGCAGGCCTGGTGATTGGGGCTGGAGCCTGCTACTGCATCTACAGATTGGCCAGAGGAAGAAAGCAGAACAAGGAGAAAATGGCCGAGGGTGGCCCTGCTGATGTGGATGATGCCGGGGACTGTCCTGGGGCCAGGTATAATGACTGGTCAGATGATGATGATGATGACAGGAATGAGAGCAAGAGTATAGTTTGGTACCCACCTTGGGCCCGGATTGGCACTGAAGCAGGGACCAGAGCTAGAGCCAGGGCAAGAGCCAGGGCTACGAGGGCTCGGAGAGCTGTCCAGAAAAGGGCTTCTCCTAACTCAGATGATACTGTTTTGTCCCCTCAAGAGTTACAAAAAGTACTTTGTTTGGTTGAGATGTCTGAAAAGCCTTATATTCTTGAAGCAGCTTTAATTGCTCTAGGTAATAATGCTGCTTATGCATTTAACAGAGATATTATTCGGGATTTGGGTGGTCTCCCAATTGTTGCAAAGATTCTCAACACGCGGGATCCCATCGTGAAGGAAAAGGCTTTAATTGTCCTAAATAACTTGAGCGTGAACGCTGAAAATCAGCGTAGACTTAAGGTGTACATGAATCAAGTGTGCGATGACACAATCACTTCTCGATTGAACTCATCCGTGCAGCTGGCTGGACTCAGATTGCTTACGAACATGACTGTTACTAATGAGTATCAGCACATACTTGCTAATTCCATTTCAGACTTCTTTCGCTTATTTTCAGCAGGAAATGAAGAAACCAAACTTCAGGTTTTGAAACTCCTTTTGAATCTGGCTGAAAACCCAGCCATGACTAGAGAATTGCTCAGGGCTCAAGTGCCAGCTTCGCTGGGCTCCCTCTTTAGTAAGAAGGAGAACAAAGAGGTTATTCTTAAACTTCTGATCATTTTTGAGAACATCAATGACAATTTTAAGTGGGAAGAAAATGAGCCTGCTCAGACTCACTTTAGTGAGAATTCACTTTTTTTCTTTTTAAAAGAATTTCAAGTGTGTGCCGATAAGGTTCTGGGAATAGAAAGCCACCAGGATTTTCTAGTGAAAGTAAAAGTTGGAAAGTTTGCAGCCAAACTGACTGAGCGTATGTTCCCAAAAAGCCAGGAATAACTTGGTGGCTTTGTAGTATAGCAGCATCACACCTTGTAAACTATTCTTTTTCTCCACTTTGTTTATATGGCAAAGGAATCCTTTCAGCTGCCAGTTTTGAATAATGAATATCATACTGTATCATTGATACTGATATTTAACCGAGTTTGTCTTCAGGTTTAAGTTGGATGAATGAATACTACTTGCCCTGAAAACATGTTTGTTGCTTTTTATCTCGCTGCCTAGATTGAGATATTTTTACTGTTTTCTCTACATAAGTGACAGTGAACCAATTCATCCTAAGTAGGCTCCTTTCTGTCATTTGCATTGATTTTATTTGTGTATCATCAATAAAGATTTATGTTAATGCTGGAAAGAAAAAAACAGAAGAAGAAAGAAACTATCCTGTTGTTTGGTTTATAATCTAGTTGTAGAGATAAGAAACATACAAATAAACAAATAAACAAAAAACCAAAAAAACAAACCCTGAGAACATTTGAAACATACAGTCTGTCAGATGTGTGCCTTCAGAACAGAGATGAGGCAAAGGCTTTGGTGGCTGGCCACATGAGGCAGTTAAAGCTTTAGGCTTGTTGAATGTATTTTAACTAGGAAAGAATTGGGGTCAATATAAATGTCCTCCCCACACCGTGTCTGTCATCAAGGATGGTGTAGCAAAATGCATCCTTTCCAACTCTGGTGGTGGGCATTTGGCAATACATATCATTAAGCCTTAAAATATGTAACCCTTTTGTCCTAAGGAGATAGAAGGATAAGTGGCCAGAGATTGTATGTGCAAGGCTGTTCTTGTCGGCACTGTCTTAAGGTAGTGACATTGGGAACAACTCCAGTGTTCCACACACTGAACTGATGAAGTAGGTTAAAGAATGTCCATGCTGTGTGATAAATGTGCTGATGGAACTCAGTATTGCTAGAAAAAGACACTCATCATACATTGTTAAGTGAGCAAGGTAAGTTAGATAGCAGTATTCAGAGTATGATTACATATTGGGGGGAGGGTTAAATCATGTTTAAAAAGACACTAAAATTTATGGAATTATATACACCCAGTAGTACTAAGAGTTATATTTGGATGACAGATAATGAGTGATACTTACTTTTTGTACTTATTATTCATCTATGTTTTTTATTTATCAAAAATTAATACTGATTTTTAAGAAAGGCTTGGAAAAAGAAAAGTATGGGGGAATGTAGCGGGTGACTAATTTGAATGCGTACTGAGAGGAAAATATCTAGGCCCCAAATGAGGTGGTCTGACGGTTCCACCTCAGAATGAGAGGTGATGGTGAAGATAAGGCTGACTATCAGATTTGAGTGAGAGAACTTATGCAAAGTAGCTACACTATTCTTGCATATAGCAGCAGTTAATCGAGAAATGTGAGTACCTTTAAGTACTACCCAGAATGTAGTGTTGATGGGTCTTGGTTAACTTTCATTTTGCTGGGGCATCCTTCTATGTTTCAGTGTCATTTAATAAATAATAATGATAATAATAAAGGTTAACATTTATTAAGTGATTACTGTGTAGAGTTCTGTCATTCTTGCAAGGAACCTGTAGAAATAGTTCCTCCAAGTGTTCCAGGGCTAATAGTGCCACCTCAGTCATGATCTCTCCTGCCTTCATGACATGTTCCTCATTGGTGTGAGGATGCTCTCCTGCTTTGAATGTCACCAGGAAATGGTGCAGTCTTCTGTCTAGCTGTGATTTAGGTTGGGCTTCAGGTTTTCACATATGTCCTCCGATGTCTGTAGGAGGACAAGGGACTGGTTGGCTTCAAGTTGTTGGATATGGTCACCATACGAAGTCATTCATGTATACGAACTCATCTGATAGTTCTTTAGAGGATGAGATGATAGAAAATGAAGTTAAAATTATTCTTGCCCGTGCTAAGTAGCATAAAAAGGATTGTAATGGCCAGGGCGGGAGCAGATCCATTTAAAATAAATGGAATTTGAAGTGTTTGTGTGATATTTAGATACCGCATTATCGTTTGAATAAATTAGTCCTGCTTTCAGTGAAGATGCCTAGGCTGCAAATAAGAACCAGAGAGAGCTGTCAGAAGTTAGATGAAAACTGAGGACAGGGGCCTGGATGCAGTCTATGGAGGACCACCTAAAAGAACTAGATAAGAAACTGGCAGCTGGGGAGAGAGGCACAGAATTTAGTCAGCCTGGTTTATATTTTCTTATTAACCCCTCCTACACAAATAACTGTCCCTTGAGATGCTTGAGAAAATAGAGGCGAGGAGCAGAAAGATGTCCCTCAACTCAATAATGTTGCATGAACACATACACAGGCGCTCAGATCAAGCCATGCCGAACTTGAGACTCAGAGTGTCTTGCTTATTACCGGGCAAACAAAATAATGAGAAGCCCTGGTATTGTAGGCACACTCCTGCCTGGCATCCTCTGCTGCTTTTCTCCCTGTTACTTTCGCTCCCAGCCCCTTCCCTGCCTCCCTCCTTCTCTCCTTTTCTCACACTTCTTTCTCTACTTCCGCCTGGGAGTTAATTGATGGTAGTCAGTCTGTTCTGTTCTGCCTTTCAGGGGTGCCTTTAATTTTGATGACACAGTGCATCCACTTAAGGCATTTTATATACATAATAATTGTCATTGCAGTGACCATAAAATAACTCTGATTTTTTTGAACCCTTCTTGAACAGAACGGCCACAGAAGGAAATATTCTCGGCTTGTTGTTACCCTGTGTGCTCCGCATTCATTTTTTATGCCCCTGTGCCTGGTACATTTTTGGTTGAGTAACACACTCTTTGGGCAAGTGCTGGGTGAGCCTAGTGTGGGTCGTGGCCAGGCCACTTCCTGACTCCCCAGAGTTTCCCTGGAAGGTTGCAGCTCTCAGTCATTTTAGAAAGAGCAGGATCCTGGCCTGTGACTGCCCCTGTAGCTCATGGGGCAGGTCAGGGAGAAGTCATTTTCTTCTCTTTTAGGGATGATGTTAAGAGACTCAGGGGATAGCCTGCTATTTTGATTTTCTCATCAAACACTTTTAGGATCTGTGTCCATCTAAATGTGCACTCAAGGATAATTTTCTAAGAATGGGGCTCATTTGGTTAAATCGTCCCCACTCCCCATGAAGCTGAACTTTTCAAGACTCAGGGAACAGGCTTTCTTTCTTTAATTCATACGTCATCGGCCTTGTTTCTAAAGAAACTCCAGCGTGGGGGTAGACAATTGATGCAGGTGATATACATTTCATGTTCTTGACTCTCTGGTTTTGCTAGGTTCTCTGGAGAGTGGCTTTGAACATAGCGAAAACATAAGATTATTTTTTCATGCTGGCTGCTTACATTACACTTACCCCACATCCCAGACTGAAGTTTGTCCCTGGTTTGTCTGTTTAAGTTGTGGCTCTTCCTTGCTTTTGAGCCAGAACAGTCTCAGCTTTATTGTTAGGTCTCCTGTGTGCTCAGGCTGAGGGCGAGGTGGGGGCAGGGAAGGGGTATTTACAACCGACAGTGCCTCACCCTCTCCAATGGGGCCTTGTCAGGTTTGTGTTGAGAGTTGGGCCATGTTGGTGCTTGAAGAGGGGTGTGGGAGCATTGGGAGGGAAGGCCAGGGATGGAAGCCCTGGTTGAGGGCTAACTCTGTCTGCATAGGTTCCTGCAACTGTAATTTGATCCCCTATTGAGAGGGGGCCGACCAGACCATTACCATCCTGGAAGGTGAAAGAGGAGCTCTAATAAAGGCAGCTTTGTTTGAGCTTGTGGCCTCCTCATTTACTCATTTACTCATTACTCATTACTGAGCTTGCAGAGGGTATAGCTTGTTGTCAAATAAAATGGGACTTCCTTTTCAAAATAAAACACAGATAATTTATTACTGTGAGAAATAGACTCAAACATATCAGATCCATAGAATCTGCTGTTCTGAACGTTCTTTCCCTAAGAGAATAAGATCTAGATCAGAACTGAAATGATCACAGGGATGTATGGTTTATTTAGCACTCAATGAAGTTACCCAACTTAGATAAATGCTGGTGCTGTCTAGGTGAGACAGCTTGGTGCATCATGTTTGCCATAGACATTGCCGTACTCTTAAAACCTAGTACCTGTAACCAAAAGCTCAAAAGCACAATTCTCCTCAAACATAATTATAACCTTTGCCTGCCTACGTGCTTCTGGAGTAGAGGAAAAACTTTAGTGCACGTTAGTTTTATGGCAAAATAAATGGAAAGCACTGGCTGTTGGAAATTGAGAGATACATACTCTCTTTTAGCTAGGTCGAACCATTTGTTGCTTCCCCCCATTTGGAAGCTATCCCGTGCCAACAACTTCTGATACCAGGAAAACTAGTCCACAGGGAGGACGCTTTCAGATCAGTTTCAGCACAGGGGCCTCGGGGCTCTGTGTCTGATATGTATAGTGTGGCAACCGAAGGCAAAAGCAATGGCTTCTAATGTTTGGGGGAGGCTGTTGGACAGCACTGCCCAACAACTCCAAAGGGCTTTTGAAGCCTGATGTTGAGGTTTTGGTTAGGTGGTCTTTGGCTCATGGTAGGTGGCATTGTCAGTCTAGATGGAAAATTTCATTTAAACTATGCATGTATTTGTATACATAGACTAAGTATTATAGATATTGTTAGGTAGTTAATACTGTGAGTCCTTATGATATTTTCCGGCATTCTTATTATTACTTTTGCCCACCTTCCTCCTTCCTCTGTATCTCTTTGCCTCTCGCTCCCTATTCAAGTCCACTGTTTTTTCCTCTTTCCCCTTCAGGTCATGTGTACCTTGCTATTCTCCTCCCTATTACTTCCCCTCTTTCTCCCCCAAATGGTCTTTTTTTACTTTCCTGGTTTCTGCAGTTATTCCTGGTTACACACTCACTTCTGAAGATTTGGAGCTAGGAGCCTCAAATGAGAGAACACACACTGTTGTCTTTCTGGGTCTGGGTCCCTTCAATCACTCCTCTCTCGTCTAGTTCCATTCGCCTGCAGATCTTCATTTTTCTGATGCAGTATCAATGTGATACTGCATATGTAGCACATTTTCACTGTGCATTTCTCAGCTGAAGGACATGGAGGTTGCTGCTGTTTCCTGGCTATTGTGCGTAGAGCAACAATGGACATGGCTGAGCAAGTATCTGCGGAATAGGATGTAGGTACTTTGGACGTATTGTAGTGTTGTGACTGGGTTATATGGTAGCTTGTATTTATTGTTTTGCTTTTGAAGGTTCGCTACTGTTTTCTAGGGTGGCTGTACCAGTTTCCGATGCCATCAGCAGTAAGTGAAGGTTCTTCCCCAGCCCAGCATCCTCTCCAGCATTTGTTGTAGTTCGTTTTGTTGATTTTGTTCCCATTCTGACTGGGGTAAGATGAAACATCAAAGTATTTTTAATTTCTATTTCCCCAACAGCCTGTGAATTGTTTTTTGCAGAATGGTCAGTTTCACAATGTGAAGTCTAGCAATTCGTGAGCATGGGCTATCTTTCCATTTCCTAGGGTCTTCCTTCTGCCTCTTTTTTAAGAGGTTTCAAGCTTTAATTATGGAGGTCCTTCAACACCTAGCTTAGGTTAATTCACGACATTTTATTTTCTTTGAAGTTATTGTGAATGGTATTCTGTCCAGGACCTCTTTCTTTGTTTGCTCTTTGTGTATAAAAAGACTACTGATTGGTGTAAGTCGACTCTGTGTTCTTCCACATTGCTGAACTGGCTTGCTGTTTCTAAATGTTTTCTAGTAGAATTTTTGGGATCTCGAATGTGTAGTATCATATCATCTGAAAACTGGGATAGTTTGACTTCTTTCCCTATTTGTATCCCCTTCATTTTGTTCTTTTGCTTTACTGTTCTAGCAAGTACTGTGAGCACAATATTGAAAAGGAGTGGAGAGAGTGGATACCCCTCTTTCGGTCCTGACTTCCATGAGGTTGCTTCAAGTTTCTCTCCATTTAGGATGATGTGGCTGTGGGTTTCTCATATACAGCTTTTATTGTTGTGAGGTATTTTCCCTCTAGCTGTACATTCTATAGTACTTTTACATGAAGGGATGATAGATTTTGAGAAAGGTTTTTTGTTTGGTGTCTATTGAGATATCATGTGATTTTTGTCTTTAAGTTCATTTATATGGTTTATTACATTTATTTAGCTGCATATATCAAACATTATCTGTGTTTCAGGGATAAATCCAGCTTGGTTATGGTGGATAATTCTTTTGATGTATGGATTTGGTTCGCAAGTTTTTTGTCGAGCATTTTTGAATCTATTAAGGACATTGGAAAACATTTTTACATGATTGTTGGGTTTGGGGGGGACACTGTTTTAACTTTTCATATTGTATGTATTTTTGTGATGAGATCTGGGCATGTGGATTTCTTTTTTTTAGTTGTGTGTCTAATATGGATGGAACACGTTGGGGCAGAAAATAGGATATGCAGATCTGGTTGGGCCTAGAGGTTGGATTTGGTTTTGGTGGAATGAAGTCTGGTACACACAAGGGACTTGGCTGTTGAGTATGATATACATCCTGGTCCAAGGATGGAGTTTGGAGGTAG